GTGGAAAGGACTAAATGAAACTGTCATCATTCATAGACTATTGTTTGACAAATAGAAAACACCAAATCATTTGCTGAAAAGTAAAACTTAAAAGATTTATCAAGGCTGCTGGATAAATAGTCAATATACAACAGTCAATTCCCTTTCTCTGTACCACTTACAAAAGGATAAACAATGAAAAAATTTTAAAGACTCCATCTATAACATAATCAAAACTTATAAAGATACTTAGAAATAAATCCACACAAGGGGCTCCTGAGTGCCTCAGTCAGTTGAGCATCAGACTCTAGATCGCAGCACAGGTCCTGATCTCAGGATTGTGTGTTCAAGCCCTGAATTGGGCTCTGTGCTGGGCGTGAAGCCTACTTAAAAAAAAAAATCCATGTAAGATGTGTGAGACCTTCGATGGAGAAAATTAGAAAACTATCTGAAAACATTAAATAAGAAAACTAATTGAAAAAGATACATGAGTCATGAATAGTGAAACCCTGTATCACAGACATACCTGCATCTGCACTCTCACCCAACTGATAGAGCTTTTCAATGCAATTCCAAGAAAAATTCAAGAATTTTCTTTCATGGAACTTGACTCATGGATATTAAAATTTAGAGAGGAGAGCAAAGAGCCAGAACAACCCTTTGTGAAGATGAACAAAATAGGTAGGATTTAATGATTAAGACAGTGTGATATGCGTGGAAGGAAAAAACAAAGGGAGAGTCCAAAGAATGATTACGTAATTGTATCTCGTGTTTTCATAAACCCACTCTGATCAGCCTTTGTCCCCGACCACTGCACCGAAACTTCTCTCCAGGTCGTCAGTGATCTTGACAACGACCAAGGTCCAACTGATAATTCTCAGTCCTCCTCCAACTTGACATGCTTTTTCACTTGATACGCGTTCTGGTCACCACATTCTCTTGGTTTTTCTCTTATTCAATGTCCACTTCTTCTCTGTCTCTTACAATCATTCTTCCTCTCCTTTCCAAGCTCTTAATGTTGCAATTTCCCATGGCTTAGTCTTCAGTCCTCTTTCTTCATCTATATACACTCAATTTCTAGAGTCACCCAGTCCGAGGGTTCTAAATACCATCTCTATGTTCATGAGTCTCACATTTATACACCCAGCCCAAACCAGACTTGATATCCACCTGCCTATTTGACATCACCACTTGGATATCTGATCTCTCAAAAGTAATAAGTCCAGAACTAAACTTCTAATCTTTGCTCCCCACCAAACCTACTCTACCAGTGGGCCTTCCAGTTACTAAGGCCAACAATCTCGGAATTATCCTGACTCCTCTCTTTCCTTCACCTCCCATGTAGAATCTTTGAAGGACTACTGTTGACTCTACCTTCAAAATATACCCAGAATCTGAAATACTTCTCACTACTTCCACCACTACTACCACCTGAGTTTGAGACACCCAAAAGTTCTTCCCTGGATTACAATTCTAGTAAGAATTTTGCTTCCAACCTTGTTTCCTTACAGTCAATTTTCAACACAGCAACAAGAGTGATCCTTTTAAAAAGTAGTGGTATCATGTCAGCTCTCACTCAAAACTCTTCAATGGTTACCCGCCAAGGAAGCTCCTTCCCTAGGGTCTCTGTATCAGATGCTCCCTTTGCAAGGGTTGCTCTTAGGTGTCTCCCTGGTCAGCTCTTTCACCTCCTTCAAACTTTTACTCAAATGTCATCTCCTCAAAGAGACCTACCCTGCATACCCTATCTACCATTGCAGGTCACCTTTTCCATCCCACATACCCAAGACTTTCCATCTCAGCAATCAAAAAGAATGAAATCTTGCCATGTGCAACAGTATGGTTGGAACTAGAGTGTATTATGCTAAGTGAAGTAAGTCAGTTGGAGAAAAATAAACATATAATTTCACTCATGTGAGAAATGTGAGAAACAAAACGGATGAACATAGGGGAAGGGAAGGAAAAATAAGATAAATATAGAGAAGGAGGCAAACCATAAGAGACTCATATACAGAGAGCCAAATGAGTGTTGCTAAAGAGGTTTGGGGTGGGAGGGTGGGATAAATGGGCAAGGGGCATTAGAGAGGGCACTTGCTGGGATGAGCACTGAGTGTTCTAAGTAAGTGATGAATCACTAAATTCTGCCCCTGAAGTCATTATTACACTGTATGTTAACTAACTTGGATTTAAATAAATTTTTTTAAAAAGACTTCCCATCTCCTTTGCTATTTTTAAAAATTGCACTTATTGGGGCACCTGGATGGCTCAGTCAGTTGAGCGTCTGACTATTTCAGCTCAGGTCATGATCTCATGGTTCGTGAGCTCAAGCCCCATATCGAGCTCTGTGCTGATTGCACTGTGCCTGCTTGGGATTTTGTCTCTCCCTCTGTCTGTCCCCACCCCCGCCCCCATGCTCTCACTCTCAAAAAATAAATTTTAAAACTTTAAAAAATGTTTTAAAAATTGAACTTATAATCTAACGTCTTTTAATAGACTATATAATTTGCTTATTATATGTGGTATTGTCTGTAATACCCTACCAGAAAGTAATGCAAGGATAGGGATTCTTGTTTATTCTGTTGACTAATGTTTTTCAAGACCCTAGAACAGTGCCTTGCTCATACTGAGCACTCAGTAACTATGTGAATGAATGAATGAATGAATGAATGAATGAAATGTGGAAGATAGGATGTAATGGAATCAGAGGAGTCATGAAGATAAAGGTAATGTTCTATTTATTAAAAAATTTTTTTTTAATGTCCACTTATTTTAAGAGAGAAAGCATGAGCAGGGAAGGGACAGAGAGAGGAGAGAGAGAGAATCCCAAGCAGGCTCCACACTGCCAGTGTAGGGCTCTAACTCATGAACTGTGAGATCATGCCTGAGCCAAAGTTAGACACTTAACCAACTGAGCCACCCAGGCACCATGGTAATGTCTTATTTCTTAAACTGGTATTGGGTTCATACATGTGTCCTTTATTTTTTTAATTTACATATCTATGGATGTATGTATGTATATTGGTCTGTAATCAATATTTAATAAAATAGTAAAAAAAAAAAAAAGCTCGATTGTCCAAATTGATTCACTTCCCAAGTGCTCAGAAAGCTGGGTTTTCACTGTACCTAGTATATTATTATCACTGGACAGAGACATCAATATTTCCATCGTCTTTTCTTTCTTTTGTTCCTTGGAACAAGACACCATGCCTCTAGCGTCTGGTCAGGGGAGGGCAACTCAAGAGAACATGCTTTAAAAAGAGTTCTTAAAAGAGCGTTAGAGACTAAAACAGCAGAGTGTACCCTCCCTCTCCCCTTTCCCTGAATTTTTAATTTTAATTTTTTTTTTTTTTTTTGAGAGAGAAAGAAGGCATGGGGAGGAGCAGAGAGCGAAGGAGACAGAGAATCTGAAGCAGTCTCCAGGCTCTGAGATATCAGCACTGAGCCCGATGCAGGGCTTGAACCCATGAACCACAAGATCATGCCCTGAGTCCAGTCAGAGGTCCTTCTTTTCCTGATTTCTCATAATGACTATAATGCCCAAATGTCTCAGCTACAGGCTCGCACCGATACCGGAGGTCACCCCCAGTGTTTCCCTACTGAAATACTGTTAGAGCTGCCCCAGCAGAGAAAGCACTCACTGCTCTGCAGGCCATTTGCCTTTGTACCCGACAGTGCATTTCCCATCATCTGGAAATTTAAAAACTAAAAACCAAAAAGAGCCTGGCCAGTGCATCTTGTTTACATTAGCTTTTTGTCTTCTGCTTGGAAATTCATTGATTACACTGTGAAAATATTTTCAAGGAGAAAATTTAAAAACCAAAGGATTTACATGAAAAAGCAAAGCAAATATTTTTTAAGGGTAGTTTTATGTAAAAACCAGCTAAAATGTCTTAGGGCCTTTCTTTCCCATCACTTGCATGGTTATATGTTCCATTGTTAGACTTTCCAAATCAGTAACTTTCTAAATCCTGAATTTGTCAGTTCTTCCAGTCACTTGGCTCTACAAAAGTTTCTTTTTAAATGAAGAATTGGGGGGTGGGACACCTGGGTGGCTCAGTAGGTTAAGCCTCTGACTCTTAATTTCAGTTTAGGTCATTATATCACGGTTTATGGGACGGAGCCCCGCTTGCAGCGAGGAACCTGCCTGGATTCTCTCTCTCGTCTCTCCCTCTTTCTGCCCCTTCCCTACTTGTGCTCTTTCTCAAAAATAAATAAATAAACATTTAAAAAATATAAATAAATGAAGAGTCGAAAAATAACTCCTCATATCACCAGAAAATGCTGTTCCAGTTCTTTGAAAACTTAATCTCATGTGAATCGCAACCTCTCTCTGTGTTATCTGTAGATCTTCAGTGACATTGGATTTGTTCTCCTGGAGAATGGCCTCAAATGGAATAGACACGTAGTTTTGTGCCTTTGCCGTAACTGAGAACTAGTTCGAGTGGTTGCAGCACGTGTTCAGAACACGTAGTTTTGTGCCTTTGCCGTAACTGAGAACTAGTTCGAGTGGTTGCAGCACGTGTTCAGAACGTGTTTTTGCTTTTTTTTTTTTTTTTTTTAATGTTTCTAGGAGAGAGAGAGAGACAGCGTGAGCAGGGGAGGGTCAGAGAGAGAGGGAGTCACAGACTGAAACAGGCTCCAGGCTCTGAGCTGGCAGTCAGCACAGAGCCCGACGCGGGGCTCGAACCCACGAACCGCGGGATCATGACCTAAGCGAAAGTCGGACGCTTAACCGACTAAGCCACCCAGGCGCCCCGTGTTTTTGCTTTTTAAACGGAAGGCGCCTTTTTCATTGCTGATGAACTGTGCTTACAGGTGGGAAGGGAGACGTGAGAGGTCTCAATATACTGCCTAACGGTCCAAGTTTCCAGGTTTATGAGGAAATGGAGGGACACATATGTGTACAAAAAAAAAAGATGTCCGTGCCCTGGAGAGACCTTTCTGGATTTCCTGCAAATGATCTCTAGAGAAAGAATGGGGAGCGAGCCAAGAGCGGAGAGGAACTCATTTAAATTCCCTGCTCCGCCCCTTTACAGTTCCAAGTTGCAGCCTCCCTCGCAGCAGACAATCCCGACGCGATGCTGGAGACCCAGGAGGATGCCTCCGACCCGGCAGGTGCCGCTCACGGTTTAGCCCCGCCCCTCAGTACCGACGGCCAATGGGAGCCGGCCGGGTCAGAGCGCCACCAATGGGAGCGGGCGGGCGGAGGCGCGCCGCCATTTAAGGAGCCGCGGGGCGGGGTCTGGGGAGCGTATGTTCGGAGTGTGGCCGCGGTTGGGTGCGGTGACCATGTCCCTGCAGGTGAGTCAAAGGCTGCGCGGGCGGGTTTGCCCCCGGAGGGACGCGCTCCAGTGGGGCAAGCGTGACGCCCCCGGCCGGCGGGCCGCCCGGACCCGGAACTCGGGACTGCGGTTGCCCCCGGACTCCCTCCCCGCCCCGAGTTGTCCATTGTGATGCCAGGACACTCCCACCCGCTTCGCGAGCGCCCGTTTACCGCAGTGGGGACGGCGCCGGTGCCATCTGTGGATGCCGAGCCGGGACTCCCTGTGGCAGCTCTTGTGAACCCCGGGGACTGGTTAAACGCCAGGTAGGCTAAGCGCCCAGGAAGGCGGACACCTAGTTGCTCCCGGAGGACCAGACGGCCCTGCTCCGCCCCGTTCTTCCCACCTGAGAAATGGAGGCAAGGACGGCTGGGGTCCTACCCGCGCCCCTCGCTCTTTGGCGCAGCCAGGGGCTCTCTCAGGCAAATGTTCTTTTGGACAGCAGAGATCTGTAAAACTACAATTAAAAATACTGGTATTTTTGCTGATATGTGAAAGAAATAATATGTTCAGGGCGGGAACTTTGGGGAAAGAGAACAAATATAAAGTAAATAAAAACCATCAGGAATTCCTTCATCCAGGAGATAAGCAACGCTAACACGATGGATTAGTATGTGTGTGTGAAAATGTGTACGTGTGTACATATGCCTGTACGTGCTTGCACATACCGGTGCATGTGTACGTACATACATGTGCATAGTATGTGTGTGTATATACACACACTGATTCCATTACACTCATGTAGAAGATGGCACATGGCAGCCACACCATGGAGCAAGAATGTATCAAGTTGTGGCACCACAGAAGGGCAGGCTGGATGGAGAGCGTGATCTTGGTCCCTGCTCTGGAACCGGCTTCTCTATCCTGGAAGGGAGAAGGAACGGGGATCCCCGAAGTTGTGTGTGAAACTGTGTCCGGGCTGACCTCTTTTGGAGAGGGCCCAAGACTTTCATTAGGTTAGCAAATGGCTCCACGTTCCCCCACTTGCGAGGAACAGTTTTCCAGAAGGTCCTCCCAGAAGGCAAGGACCTAGCATGGTTGTTGAGAATCCTTAGAGTTCTCCTCAAGGCTTGGCTTGCCAAGAGTAATTGGGTTTCTGTCAGTGGAAAAGGGCATAAGACCTTAGAGCAAGCACATCTGAAGGGGAAGATCTCTATACATCTCTGAATAACCCTGCCCTGCCCTTAGGAAGCCGTGAGTACTTAAGAGCATTTGCATTTTGTCCTCATTATAGACACGAGAGGGGCGCCCTACAGAACATTTGGAGAGTGCAGAGAGTCTTAAAACACCAGAAAACTTAGCAGTAATCAGACGCGATTATCATCTGCATATTCTAGTATATTTCTTGCTAGTCTTGATTTTTTCTACATGCCTTACAAAGCTGAGTGTGTAAAAGCCATTTGGTATTCTTTGTCAAATCAACGTATTTTTCGTGTCTTCATTGGGAATACTTTTCTCAGTTTTTTCTAGAATTCGTTTCTTTCCCCCCAGAGACACTTAAAATAATAATGGTAGCCTTTTAAACACTCACCATGTCCCAGGCACTATTTAATGTGTTTTCTATGTGTTGGGATGCCTGGGGGGCTCAGTTGGTTAAGCGTCCAACTCTTCTTGACTTTCGCTCAGGTACTGATCTCCTGGTTCGTGGGTTCCAGCCCCACAGTGGGCTCCGCACTGACAGTGTGTGGCCTGCTTGGTTTTCTCTCTCTCCTCTCTATGCACCCCCCCTCCCCAAATGAATGAACTTAAAGAAAAATAACTGTTTTACGTGTGTTAACCTAATTAATCTGGCTAACAACCTTGTGGATACGTGGTATTTTTGTCCCATGTTCTGGCTGAGAAAACAGACACAGGTTAAATAACTCCCAAGCACACATAGCTCTTAAATGCTAAAGCTGAGACTCTAACTGAGGCAGGCTGGCTCTAGAGCCTCGGTTCTTTTTTCCTTTTTCTTTTTCTTTTTCATTTTCATTTTCTTTTTCTTTTTCTTTTTCTTTTTGAGAGAGAGAGGGTGTGCGAGCGGCAGGGCCTGCACAGAGCCTGATGAGGGGCCTTATCTTACGACCCTGAGATCATGACTTGAGCCAAAATCAAGAGTCAGACACTCAACTGACTGAGCCTCCAGGCGCCCCTAAAGCCTGTGTCCTTCGTTTTTCTTTTCTTTTTTTTTTTTTTTTAATTTTTTGAATGTTTATTTTTGAAGGAGAGAGACACAGAGCATGAGCAGCGGAGGGGCAGAGAGAAAGGGAGACACAGAATCCAAAGTGGGCTCCAGGCTCTGAGCTGTCAGCACACAGCCTGACGCAGGGCTTGAACTCACAAACCATAAGATCATGACCTGAGCCAAAGCCAGACGCTTAACCAACTGAGCCACCCAGGCTCATGACACTGTTTAAAGCAGGACACTCAGAAAGATGAGGCAGAGTGCGTGACCCTTGTCACATGCACCCATGCTTCTTAGACCCCCGTAAGGATTAATTAGGAGGCTGGGCCATTTTCCAGGTTATTTAGTTTGCAGAACCCAGGCGCTCTGATTTACAAGTGACTTTTGTTCACGACAAAACACTGTCCCCGTTGTGCTACTGCCCTGTCTTCAGTGCTGGAGGAAACTTTATCCAGCAACTCGGCTGAGACCTCACCGGTTCTGACATTACAGTGGTGCTATCCGCTTTCTGTCCCGGACTCTGCATGTGTGGATCAGAGGCAGCTCTGCATTGGAGAAAGAAAATGGAGGTGGGGGTAGAATGCCTCCTTGAGCTTTTCTTGTTTGATACCCTGGCTGCTGATATTTCCTGCTTATCCCTGATTTAAATACCACAAGGTAAAATAAGGTTTATTTTTTTTAAAAAGAATAGAAAAATTCTATTAAGGAAAATAGTCACCAAAGCCCTTTTTAGAGAAACGGAGAGGTTGAAAGACATGGGATAAGGCTAAGAGCACATATGAGGCTCTTGGCTGGCTCAGTCGGTGGTACGTGCAGCTCTTGATCTCAAGGTCGTGGGTTCGAGCCCCACATTGGGGGTAGAGATTACTTAAGTAAAAAATAAAACAAAATCTTTTATCTTTTTATTTTATTTTTTTATTAATTTTTTTAATGTTTATTTATTTTTGAGGGAGAGAGACAGAATGCAAGCAGGAGAGAGGCAGAGAGAGAGGGAGACACAGAATCTGAAGCAGGCTCCGGGCTCCGAGCTGTCAGCACAGAGCCTGATGCGGGGCTTGATCTCACGGACTACGAGATCATGACCTGAGCCGAAGTCAGACGCTCAACCGACTGAGCCACCCAGGTGCCCCAAAATAAAAGCTTTTTAAAAATACTGGGAACACATAGATATTCCTCTGTGCAGAATATGCCAACAGAGATCTGCAGGCCAGCCTGACGCTCTTTGGGAGTGAGGCAGGTCAGGGTTTCAGAGTTAAGTCACAAATGGGGAGGACAGGGTTTATTACTGTGTATATTTGTATACAGAGCTTCCAGGAAGCCAGTTTCTTTTCACCAGTGAGCTCTAGGTTGGCTATGCAGCTTCTCTTTTTTGGAAATATGTTGAAAGAAGTCTTTTAAATTTTAGTCTCAATGTTTAAAGGAATCTTTTTTTAATATTTTTAAAAATGTTTTTATCTATTTGTGTGTGAGAGACAGAGAGACAGTGTGAGCAGGGGAGAGTCAGAGAGAGAGGGAGGTACAGAATCCGAAGCAGGCTCCAGGCTCTGAGCTAGCTGTCAGCACAGAGCCCGATGCGGGGCTTGAGCCCACGAACCGTGAGATCATGACCTGAGTCAAAGTCGGACACTTAACCGACTGAGCCACTCAGACGCCCCTAAAGGAATCTATACAAGCAACTCAGTGAAATCAGAAATATGGCCCACAGAGGTGCGCCTGCCTCACTCAATAGGTTGAGTATATGATTCTTGATCTCAGGGTCATGAGTCTGAGCCCCATGTTAGATGCGGACATTACCTTAAAAACATGAAGAATTTTTCAAAAGAAAGAAATATGGCCCTCAGAAACTAGCCAGCCACTAAACAGGTATAAATAAGAGTGATGCTGAAAAGTGCAGGCAAAGAGGAACTAAGTGGTGAACGCTCTGGATGAAGACTGATTGGTAGTAAAGCTACCACATATGGCAAAGGGTGGATTTAGGAAGAAGAGGAGGTGTCCGTGAGGGTGATCGAGAAGGCTGCACTGGGTGTAATACTGCTTTTCAAAAATTATCAGAAACTTTTATTTATATGCTTTTAACTTATAAGAAATGTGTATTGAAATTTCTCTTGCTAGATTTTCCCCCCATCTTTTGACCACATTCATCCATTTCCCCCACCCTTTGTCCCCTGTCTGTGGTAACTGCAAGTCTGTCCTCTGTTCCCCTAAGTTCAGTGAACGTAGAGTCCGCATACGAGATCCTTCAGTATTCGTTGGTCTCTGTCTGACTTATTTCACCTCAGGTAATGCCCTCGGGGCCCATCCATGTTGCTGCTCATGGCAGGATCCTTCCCTTTTTATGGCTGAATGATATTCCACAATGTGTGTGTATGTGTCTATATAGTGTTTTTGTTATCCATCCATCCATCATTGTGATGAGGGGCCATTAGGCAAGCTGAGGGCCAAGCACAGGCTAGCACAACACCCTCCCCCAACCCCAGGTGGCACCTGTGTGACATCCCTCAGACACTCCTGGCTGCCCAAGAACAAAGGAAAGGACAGAAGACAAATGGTTAGACTGATAGTGTCTCCATCAGTTTACAAGTATCTTAGTGATATTACAAGGAAAGGGCAACCTTATCAGTAACCCAAGTCCAGGAACTCCCTACTGTCTCAATGTCAATGCTTTGCTAGATGGAAATACGCGGCTTTGATGTGCATTCCTGGTGATGAGTGATGTTGAGCACCTTTTCTGTGTCTGTTGGCCATCTGTATGTCTTACTTATTTTTAATTAATTTGTAAATGATTTATTGCTTTTTTTTCAGAAAAACTTTCTAAACCACATACAGACTACATACAGTAGTCTACATACACTACCACATACAGTTTTATACAGACAAGCTCTCTCATTTAAAAAAGTTTTTTTAATGTTTTTAGTCATTTTTGAAAGACAGACAGACTATGTGAGCAAGGGAGGGGCAGAGAGAGAGGGAGACACAGAATCTGAAGCAGGCTCTAGGTCTGAGCTGTCGCACAGAGCCTGACGTGGGGCTTGAACTCACGAATTGCGAGATCATGACCTGAGCTGCTGCTGGTCACCAACTGACTGAGCCACCCAGGCGCCCCACTCTTATTCTTCTTTCAGCCTTGATTTGCTTCTTAGTTTTCATTTTTCTGACCATCTGCCATCTTTTTTAAAATTATTATCTCCATTTTATTTATTTTTAATTTATTTATTTAAATTCAAGTTAATTAGGGGCGCCTGGGTGGCTTAGTCGGTTAAGCGTCCGACTTTCGCTTAGGTCATGATCTCGCGGTTCGTGGGTTCGAGCCCCGTGTCGGGCCTTGTGCTGACTGCCAGCTCAGAGCCTGAAGCCTGTTTCAGTCTGTGACTCCCTCTCTCTCTGACCCTCCCCTGCTCACGTTGTCTCTCTCTCTCTCTCCTAGAAGTAAATAAAACATTAAAAAAATTAAAAAAAATTATATTAATTAATAAACTATCATTGTTAAACTTAAAGCTCAATGATGGGTTAAGCAAAAGATAAGACTTGCAGAAAAATTAGCCATTAAAAGGCAGATTTGAAGAAATTATTCAGAATATAGCATAAGTAAATAANAGTCTGTGTCTCCCTCTCTCTCTGACCCTCCCCTGCTCACACTGTCTCTCTCTCTCTCCTAGAAATAAATAAAAATATTAAAAATAAATAAATAAATTCAAGTTAATTAACATAATTTTTTTCATCCACTTTTATTTTTTTTTAATATTTTTATTTATTTCTAGGAGAGAGAGAGAGAGACAGCGTGAGCAGGGGAGGGTCAGAGAGGGAGATACAGACTCTGAAACAGGCTCCAGGCTCTGAGCTGGCTGTCAGCACAGAGCCCGACGTGGGGCTTGAACCCACGAACCGTGAGATCATGACCTAAGTAAAGTCGGACGCTTAACCGACTAAGCCACCCAGGCGGCCCTCATCCACTATCTTTTAAATCATTTGGCATTTTTTGTTTTCTGGGTTCCCCAGGCATTATTCAGAAACTGGGCTGCAGCCCTCTCTGCTGGTAACCTCTTCTTTTCAGGACACAGGAATGTATCCACAGAGTTCTGTTGGATCAGGGACCATACAAACGATTCCGTCTACAGGCTTTCCCTGCTTGTCTTGAATCTCTCAGATCTTGATCTTTTAGCCTTAGAGCCAAGTAGCTTTTATTCTGACTGATAGACTGTACTTTTTATACTTTTTCTTTGTTTTTTTTTGTTTTTTTGTTTTTTTTGGACTCACTTCCTTTTTCATATTCTTCGTTTTTCTTCTGCAAATGAGCTTCTTTCTGGCCAGCTGTAGTTAACTCTTCTAGAATGTTATCTGGGAGGCGTTTGTTGTTGTTGTTGTTGTTGTTTGTTTTTTGTTTTTGTTTTTTTTGTCTCCTTCAGAAGCCCCAACCCGCCGCTCCTCTTCTCAGGCTAAAAGTGAGCTCCGCTTGCTGTACTGCTGCTGGGCTGTGCCTCCTGCTCCTCCCGCAGGGGGTGCTCTGCTTCCCCTCACCCCGCCCCCCCACCAGGTGATGCACTATCTCTGGACCCTCCCCCAGGAGGTGCTCCGCTTCCCTTGCTCCCCACCCCCCACCCCGGGTGATGCCCTGCCTCTGGATCCTCCCCCAGCAGGTGCTCTGCCCTCCACCTCCTACCCCGCACGGGCTGGCTCTCTGCCACCATCACCAGTGCCGAGGCCCGACGACAGAGCCGCACCATGGCCCATGCAGCGTCAGACCCTCTCCATTTGTATGTCTTCCTTTCCCATTTTTTTTAAATTAAATTTTTTCAGCTATTGAGTGGTATGAGTTCTTTATGTATTTTGGATATGAAGCACTTTTTTAAGATACGTGATTTGCAAATATTTTTCCCATTCCATAGGTTGCCTTTTCATTTTGTGTACGGTTTTCTTTACCTTGCAGAAACTTTTTAGTTTGATGGAGTCTCACATCTTTATTTTTGTGTTAGCTGCCTTTGCTTTTGATGTCAGATCCACTCATTGCCGAGACCAGTGTCTATGCCCTATATTTTCTAGCTAGGAGTTTTATGGTCTAGACAAAAGGTCTTACGTGACCTTACATTAAACCCACTTTGAGCTGTGCATAGTGTCAGATAGTGGCCCAGTTTCATTCTTCTGTACGTGGCGGTCAAATCCCAGCACCATTTGGTGAAGAGACTGACCTTTCCCCCATTCTACATTCTTGGCTCTTTGTCAACAGTCAATTGACCATATATATGCATGTTTTTATTTCTGGGCTCTCTCTTCTATTTCATTGATCTGTTTGTTTTTAGGCCAACACTGTACTGTTGTGATTACTGTAGCTTTGTAATACACAATCGTTGCAAGTCACAAAATGTGAGGACTCCAGCTTTGTTATTTTTTCTCAAAATTGCGTTGTCTATTCTATACAAACTTTAAGGTTGTTTTTCTCCATAAACTATGCCTTTGGAATGTTGATAGGGATTGGCTCCAATGAATCTCTAGATTGCTTTAGGTGGTATGGACATTTAAACACAATTATTTCTTCCAATTCATAAGCATAGAATAGCTTTCCATTTATTTGTGTCCTCTTCAGTTTTAAGATTTTTCAGTATTAAGAATTTTCAGTACTGGGGCTCCTGGGTAGCTCAGTCGGGTAAGCATCCGACTTTGGCTCATGTCATGATCTCAGGGTTCATGAGTTCAAACTCCGTGTCAGGCTGTGTGCTGACAACTCAGAGCCTGAAGCCTGCTTCAGAGTCTGTATCTCTCTCTCTCTCTCTATCTCTCTCTCAAAAATAAATAAATAAACCTTAAAAATATTTTCAGTATTAAGAATTTTATGTAGTTGTCCCTCTCTTCTCTATTTATCAGGTAAGTACCAGGAGAGGTATCCGTAAACTAAAACAAATTAGGATAGTTCCGGTGAGTTCTGGTGACTCAGAACCATAATGGTTCCATTTCTGCTTGAAACCTTCCTCTTTGTTTTTGAGTTCTCGCTCTTTGACGGTAAATGGCCCCAAAATAGATGGGCCTGCTGAAAGTTAGTGAATGCACCATGTACCTTTTTTCCCTCTTGTTCTAGGCTGATTTTGAAAAGATCGCAGAAGATGTGAAGAAGATGAAAACAAGGCCAAATGATGAAGAACTGAAAGATCTCTACGGGCTCTACAAACAGTCTGTAGTTGGAGACATTAATATTGGTATTTCATGTATATATACATATATATGTTCATCATATTTTTAAATAATATATTTAAAAATAATAAATTTCATTTGAATGTTTATAGGAGTATAGAATAAAAAATAACTTGAAAATATATCTGTCCTTCTTTTGGCAGAGTGTCCAGGGATGTTAGATTTAAAGGGCAAGGCTAAATGGGAAGCCTGGAATCTCCGAAAAGGTGGTTAATTCTTAAATAAGCGAGATAAACTTTCTTAATTGCCTAATATGACAGTGAGATAATGTGTCGTGTCTTTCTAGGGATGTCGAAGGAAGACGCCATGAGGGCATATATTGAGAAAGCAAAAGAGCTGATAGAAAAATACGGAATTTAAAATTCGGCCCTGGAGAAAGTTCTTCTTTTGACACCTTTGCAATGGTATCGTGACCTACCATCTAGGGAAGAAATACACTGTTAACTCTTTACGTGTCATGAATATTTTTGCCTTTAACATGAATTGTAATCTTTAATTAGCAGGACACTGACATTATGTATGTAATGAAATTTTACTTGCCTAAACCAGATGATTTTAAAAGTTCTTTTAAAAAAAAGTATTGCTCAGTTAGTATGTGCATAAAAACATTAACAATTTTTGGGGGAGCTTACCTGTTTTCCTACGGTGAGTTAGCATTATTGGTGTATAATCAAAACCATTTATTCAGAATGAGTGACAAGCCTCTTCCTTTGTTGCACGGTGTGGCTTTGGGATTCTCACTGACATGGGGCCTTAGTCACCCATAAACTTGGGCAGTTCTTGTCCTTACTCTAATTCTTCACTAGGTGACTGAGGCAGATTACATAACCTCGCCACTCAGCCTCGTCCATAGAGTGGGGGAAATCAGTCTCGCAGGGTTGTAAGGTCTAAATGAGGTAGCTGTAATTATCATACTTGAGTTTAAAGCATATGTTATCAGAAGCCTAACAAATTAGCTAAAAATTTTTTAAAAATAAACTCATGAGTCGCTGACTCTTCAAAGAAAGAAAAAGGCTATCTGTCAACAATTTTTTCTTTAAATTTCTACGTTTAAGACAAACCAAAAAATCAAATGTAGTATCTAGTGATAATAAACATAGAACTACGATGCCTCTTAAGCTCAGTTTTGATCGTAGTGAAAATGCAGAGTCTGGGATATCCTAATAGCCAAATCCTCAGTCTTTCTTACTGGCACTCAGGTTTCCTGGAGGAAGGTGGTCTTCTTTTAGTAGTTCTATAAATCTGTGTGTCTGAGATTGCATAGGATAAACCTCACCCAAACCAGTGTACCTCTATTCCCTGGACAAGGGGTATGCATTTGGTATGCTATGACCAGCAAGGGATAAATTCATTTCATGTGACTTAAAAAAAAAACAACCAAAATACTTAGATTGACTAGACTAGATGAATTTCCAGGGAAGTGAAAAAGCCAGTCTCAAAAGATTACACAGTGTAGGATTCCATTTATGAAACATTCTTGAAATGGCAGAGTTACAGACCTAGAGGACAAAATAAAGATTGCCACAGAGGACAGAATAGGGAGGTAGATGTGGCTTTAAAGACAGCAGGAGGGGGGGAGGGCACCTGAGTTGTTCAGTCGGTTGAGCATCCAACTTCGGCTCAGGTCACAATCTCACCATTCCCAAGTTCAAGCCCCACGTCAGGCTCTGTGCTGACCTCTCAGAGCCTGGAGCCTGCCTCAGATTCTGTGTCTCTCTTTCAGTCTCTGCCCTGCCCCCACTTGTGCTGTGTCTCTGTCTCTCTCAAAAAACAGTAAACGTTAAAAAATGTTTTTAAAAGAACAGCAGGAGGGATCCTGTGGGGATGGAATGTTCTGTTCCTTGACTGTATCGCAGAGAACATCTGGCTGTAACATTACACTGAGTTTTGCTCATGTTACCATTGGGTGCAACTGGCTAGATCTGTATGACTGCTCAGAACAAACAACATGTGAATCTACAGTTATCTCAAAATTTAAAAATTCAGTGAAAAAAAAATCTAGCTTGGTTCCTATTCTGGAAAATTTTGCAAAGTAAAGATGATTCTCATCTCTACTAACCCTTCCCTGAAGATAGTCAGGAATCTTCCGTGATGAAGTCAGTGTCCAGATCCAAGAAAATGAAGAGATCAGCAATGACACGGCCGCTCCTTCTCATCAAGGGTCTGGAAGCTCCCAGAGCTATTCCTATGTGGACTTCACCTTCCCTGGCTGGGAGGCAGTGAGAAGACCTGCCTCAAAAGCCTGGCAATGGCTACAACCTGAAATTCGCACTGTGGACCGCAGTAACTAAAAATTGTTCAAATGAATGATCACAAATCAAATGACTTTTGCGTCAATCCTTCCACAAAGGAGCCCTGGAGACGGTATCACACCAAAGGGTAAAGTACAGCAGGTACTAAACTTGTATTATAATTTGCATGAGGCTATTTTTAGCCCAAGTTGATTACATGAATTCTAACTCCTCCCACAATGAATTTTTAGTATTTTAGAAAATATTTTATTTTTAAGTAATCTCTACACCTAAGGTGGGGATCACGCCTACAACCCAGAGATCAAGAGTCACATGTTTCACCGACTGAGCCAGCCAGGCACCCCACCCCACAATGATTTTCTTATGTTACTTAATCTTCTGTTGGAAAGTAATGATCAATTATGAAAAATATCTCCTGTATGCATTTTGTTCTATCTTATTCACTAAGATTCTCTGTATGTGATTTTAAAACCTTAACACAAACATCAACCCACAATATGTGACCATAAACCAACTGATTCTTTAGGGCACCTGGGTGGCTCAGTTGGGTAAGCGTCTGACTTCGGCTCAGGTCAGATCTCAACGGTTCGTGGTTAGAGCCCTGCATCAGGCTGTGTGCTGACAGCTCAGAGCCTGGAGCCTGTTTGGGATTCTGTGTCTCCCTTGCTCTCTGCCCCTCCCCCACTCATGCTCTGTCTCAAAAATAAACTATAAAAAAATTTAAAAAATCTGATGCTTTAAAATGGAATATCTTAATATAGAATGCTGTGTTAGGCACTTTAAGCCTAAAGGAAGCCATGTCGGTGGCACCAAGTAGTGTTTATCATGAAGACCCACAGGATGTAGGGAATCGGGGTCCCTGCTTGCACCTCCCGGATTCCGGATACAAACACAGTCTGGGACTTGCCGCCCCAAGCGTTAGATGCCTCTTGTCACAAGAGGTTGTGGTACCAACCTTCTGCCTTTTCAGACTCAGCTAATTTTCCCTGTATTTCTGCACTGAGCTTGTTTTCTCCAACTGCTCTGCTTCCTCCCTAGGTGTGCACTGCAGTGTCACACAGTGAGGCTGAGGCATTGCCTTGGGCACAGTGGCCACTCCACACACACACACACACACACACACACACACACACACACACACACACACACACACACACACCCCCCCCCTCCTGAGTACTCTTGCTGGCCCGAGTCAGTCATTGCGGGCCGTAGCAGGGCCTCGGAGCCAACAGGTGCCCAGTGTAGGAGGGGCCCGCAGCAAGTGCCCAGGTTTAGGGGCTTTCTGAGGACTGGCCCATGGAGACCTGCAGTGATCGCTCAGGACTATCTTATTTTAATAAAGCAGGAGGTTACATTTTCTAATTGAATGGGAGGACCCTATGTTTCAGATTCGGATCAAGCTTTGAACCAAGCGTGTTGATGAAACCATGCATCTTCTAGCATTTTCCCTATCCTTGCCACTGTTAAAATAATCGAAGGGAAAAAATGGATAATTTACCAAGCAGAAATTTTGCTGACAGATGAGACGCATCCCACAGATGAGACTCAAATGAGATTCCGATCCAAAGATAAAGGACCCTGCCAGAAATATTCTTTACCCCTTTGTCTTGTGTCTCCAGATGCAGAAACGCTCTGTGAAGAAATACATTTGTGTATAACACACCACCCCCATAGAAGCAAATGCATAATTTTCCATCCTTGAATAAAACTAATCAACGACTTCTTGGTCAGGCTACCTGAGTGGCTCAGTCAGTTGGGCCTCCGACTTTAGCTCAGGTCATGATCTGGCAGTTCGTTAGTTGGAGCCCCGCATCGGGCTCGCTGCTGTCAGCCCAGAGATCACTCTGGATTCTCGGCCTCCCTCCCCCTCTCTCTCTCTGCCCCTCCCCCACTCACATGCTCTCAAAAATAAACATTAAAAAAAAAAAAAACCTAACAAACTGCTTCTGAAAAATTAAGAAGAGTATCATACAATCACTTGGGACTGTCTTCAGACTGAAAGGGACAATATCTAAAAACAGGCAAGATATAAATAGTTGTAGACACTTGGTTATGTGGTTCTTGAGGAAGGGTCTCCTAGGAAGTTTCCATGAAGATAAAAGTGACTTCCTGGAGCACATGAATATCAAAACTTGGATCAATTACATCTTCCCAGGCTAAAAAGAAACAAAATTGTATTTCACAACAACAGACGCTTACCACCATCAACAGAAGATTTGCTTCCAGATACTGCCTTTCTAAAGCTGACACCGATTGATAGAGTTACTTCTGAGGTCTCATGTTCTGTAAGGCCTGTATTTTTAATTTCTCGAAGACCTATCAGTATACAGTGCTATTACTTGCATTCTCTTACTTCACACACGGCTGACCTCTCTCCGTTCACACTAAAGAAAACCTCGGCCAAGTTTCTACCTCCCGCAGTAACTGCCAGTTCCTATTAGCTGAAAATCACCAAACACATCTCTGAAAATACAGCAAACTATCAAAACAATTTCACCCTCCATGTCCTTTGCTGTATCTTCAGATCCAATACAACATGTTAAATCACAGGAAGGAGCAGCTTCAGACGGTGTATCAAAGCAGCGAGTCTTAAGAGCTGGTTGGTGGCTTTTCATCGCCGACATCTCGGAACCTTGTTCATGTGGTGAAATGCGGGGCGTCTTTGCTTCCTTCCCATTTGCTATTTCCAGCAATACAGGCATTTTCCCCAGTGGGGCCCACACCTGTCACTACCTGCCTGAGACGCACTGTGGGCCCGGCCACTTTCAAGGTCATCTGACTTCTAGAACAATGCAGGTGACAGCCCGAAGGCACCTGGGCACCCAGTCCAACAGGGCCAGTACCAACCAGTACCTTTAACTGTCATCTCCAGAAACATCGACCTATTTCCCAGCTCTCCAGACAGCTGCCATGTACAGAGCAAAAGCAGGTTCGGGCACGCAGGGTCCCTGAGTGGTTTCCACCTGTTCTCAGCTGGCACAACAACAGATTTATTGAGCTGGGTGCTGGGTGCTCAGTTCGCCACCAGGGACTCGCGGGTACATAAACAGCCTGATTACTTCACCAGCTTAGACACTGGCTGGGAGGCCACTAGAGACAGGCATTAAGTGCTACTGGGTTCAGGGGCGCCTGGGTGGCTTAGTCGGTTAAGCGTCCGACTTTCGCTTAGGTCATGATCTCGCGGTTCGTGGGTTCAAGC